ATGCCGCACTGCATGGAATCTATAGATGAACTGATATACATGAGACAACCACCCCACGGCCACTTGTCCTATCGCCACGAGAAAGTGTGTAGTTGTGGAGGCAAATGCTCTAGTCAGAAACATCTGAGGTGCACCATGCCTCAGTTACCATAATGATTGATGGGGAGCATAACAACGCAGGTAAGGCCAAACTAGACATCTTATTGCAGATTGACCGGGCATTTATTAGGCACACAGAAAATGAGCGCCCTGACAGTTGAAAGCAACCGCAAACATCTTGAAAGAACGACCCGCTAATGTCGTCAGGAGGCATGGAGTGCTGGCTGCAGGTAGGTTGTGAGGTGTCGGGTAAATGATTTGTGCTAACATTGAAAGGAGGTGGCACGGAACAGTTTATTAAGGAAACGGTAGGGTTAGGCACATTGATCGGTTCAACATCAACCTTAAGCGAGCCAGATGGGTGGGAAAGAGAGACTGAGTTACTCAGATAATTCACGGTCGTGTGGCACTTTTCCAGCACATGTCCACTAGGGTCAGGGACCAGGGTGCCTTTATTTTTATTATCAGTATTCGGTGTGGATGTTAACCTGGCGGGTGCAAAGGAGGCATTATACTATTCGGTTCCCAGTGACTTTTTGTAGTCTCGTTCAACACGTGGCTGGAGACTAACTGGATCGTCTAGCCCACTGAAGGTGCCATCAACTCTTGAAGTCGCCAAAAATTCTGTTGCGGTGTTTGCAAGCTTTTAATGGGTTTGGGAATACGTGTCACATAGTCATGGTGGTTACATTCAGTGATGGGTTGAGTATACTGGCTACTTTTGCCCGCTGTAAGTGGATTCAGGGCAGGCGTTTGGCGATAGCTTGGTTCACCAACCGAATAATGTGTTTTCCTTGCAAACAGTTTTCGATTCTGCGTTTTTAAGAGTGTTGATGCTGCTTTAGTAAACACTATGGCATCATCATAATGATCACTAAAGTCAGGTTCGGACGGAGGTTGTGCAACGCTAAACGATCATTGTCTCGCTTTGCAAAGGATTTAGAGTGAAATGACCCTATGTGGCAATTTGTGGCCTGAAAAAGCTTTTTATCTTTATGATGAGGTGGTTTACTTCACAAAAGAGTGACTTTACCGTCCGGCTGCAGCTGGAGGACAATTTGGTCAGAGTTGTGAGAATCGCAATCAGTTATTGGCTGTGGTGGTTTATATTTACCAAATAACCTTGGCTTGTTAGAGTTCGCGCACACATTTCACCGGGCATGTGCTGATGCGCCTGCAGTTGGAATATCAGTTGTCTTGAACTTAGAGAAAGCATGACGTAGAGACACTTTCGGTCGGTCAACTTGGGTTGTGTAAAAGACAAAGTATTGGTTTTTGAGGCGAAAATATTCTTATGTGAGTTCGTAAGTTCATTATTGCTTGAGTGGGTATCAATGGATCTACATGGAATCCTAGTAATCGCATCTGCAAGCGTGCACCATGCCAATAAATCTATATCGAACGCATACAATTCAAGGTCACGATTGTACCACCCTCCCTACCTTCAAGAACATTCGATGGTTCAAACAATATCCGAATAATTCCTATTTTCGAACTGAGCTTGCCTCATTATGGTGAAAAATTATGCTGGTGTTTGTCTGTTCCATTCTTTGACATCTGCGAAGCGATAACGTTCTTTCAGTTGATGGACCTTTTATGTGCCGGGAAAAACGGTGTGTATTGTATAGCTTGACATTGTACATAACAACCAGTTCACATCACCAAAATGATCAAACTTGCAAACCAGTTTGTTTTCACGTAACTTATGTTGCATGAAATATATTACTGTTATTATTATTAACTTGCACCATTAAACATGACCCTCTGCGGTCCGCCATTGGTAGGGAACCCCATGTTAGAAGCAACTCAAAATATCTTTGTGTCGATATAAAGGGACTTGGAGGTAAGGCAGCATAACCACGATCTCTCTATTCTTACCTTTCTCTGAGGATTATAGTCCTGACAGAAACGTGGTTACCACAGAACATTGGCGATATCGGAGCCCCTGTGGATGGCATGCATGTATCAAGGAGAGACAGGGAACACAAGGAAGGAGGTTCTGTGATACGGGCCATAACTGAACCTTTCGAACCTGAGCAGTAGTGGGGACTAACGGGGGAACTCACTACGGCGGCTATCTCTGAACACGCCCCCGTAGTCACAGCAGCACGCTGGTACCGAACATCATGGTTGAAACTGGTCACTGAACTCTCCTTGAAAGCCATGAAGGAAGCGTCGAATAAACGGAGGATTTCTAGAAAAGAGTCAGACCACAGCTAGTGTATGACTCTGGCGAATCGACACAGCATCGAAGTGAGGGGAAACAGGAGGTTATTCCAGGCAAGCCGTGCCCAGAATCTTGAGGCCAATCTTGAAAAATTATACGGATTCAAGGCGGGGATAAAACCCATGGCCTGGAGAGCTGGCGTTAAGAAAGGCCGGAACGATAGGACCTATCTGGGCTGGAGACTGCCAAAACCTTCCACACGCAAACGAATATTCCGCCAACCAACCGAAACCGTCAACTACCTTAGCAACCCCCCCAATACTGCCCGATATAGAAGAGCTGTAAGCCTGCCGTGGTCCTCGAAAAGCTGCCAAAACTCCGCGCAGGAAATCACCGAGATGCAACGACACTCAACCGTCTGCGTTGAAACAGTGGGCAGGCACCTTTGCAGTTTACTCTGTAACCTGTTCCAACACTCCTTGGGCAAACGCATGTTGTCAATGGTGCTTGGACATTAGAACATCCATACTCGTTTGGTCGCAACAGTTTCCCGTTCGTTGGTCCACTATACTTTCGGGGGTGTTAACTCCCCCTGTAGGCGAAAGCAATACCATCAGAAGTACCGCATATAACGGCATTATTTTTGTGGACAGTAAGTGAACGCTGGTCCTTCATGTTGTGACGTTGTGATCAAATGGGCGAATAAAAGTTGATTCCAGATACGAGAGTTGTTTTCCTGTGTCGTTTTGAACTTACTCGTTCATTAATTTTATCCCAGGGATCCGTACCAGTCGTATCACCAATGAACAACCGCGGCTTCATTGGTATACGCTTCCTGGGGAGTGGAAACACATTATTCTCTTCCCCAGCTTCCTAGAATCCGACAGGCATAACCCGAGATTGCACCAGCCTGCTGCACTTATGCCGGCACCGCCGAGAGTAAGGGATGGCCTAGTAGGCGACCATGCCAGAGAGGATCTGGACAAAAAGGAGAGATGAATTACGGCCAACAAGTTATCTGAAAGGGTACGTCCCGCGCCTCAAACCTTCCAGCAGCCGTTGATAACTATACAGCATGCTAGGACCCCCAAGTCCTTGCTCACATGATTTTCCCGGGTTTTGCCGAGGCTTCTGACACAGTCTCACACGCCATTCTCATATGCGAAATATTTAGGTTGGTAAGCAGCGATCAGGTGTTCTCCCGGCTGTAGGGCTATTCAGAAGGCAGAGAATTCTACACAGAAGTCAATAGGGTCTGCTTGACCCGTAGGATATCATTATCTGATGTATCACATGGTGCAATTATGGGTCCATAGCTGTTCCTCCTTTTTGTGAACGACCTCTCATTGAGCTACAGCCTTTCAAGTTTGCCTTTTGCTGACGACGTTAAGTTATGCAGAAGTGTGGCATCCGGAGCGAAATCAAGTGCACCAGAGTGATCTCACGTTCCTTGCAGAATGGATGGATAATAAGGCGGTAGCAACGTGCCTGGATAAGTGACGAACCTCATTTCCCAGTATCACTAGATCCATACAAGTACCCTACAATCTCAGCGGGATAAGACTTTTTCACAGCGCCACGGATAGAGACCTTGGGCTAATATTTGTTGACAGGATGGGCACCTGCTCCAGTTATTTAAGCGGTGTCTGCAGAGCTTACGCAGTACTGGGCTTCATGGACAGACAACTAGGTACCCTTGATCCGAAACTCGTCCTGTAGGACGCCTACATATGACCTCTATTGAAGGCTGACGATTTAATTGCGCACCATACGTGAGAAGAAGTGAAAACTTCGCGGAAAATGTCCAGAGACCGCCAAAAATGTGGTCAGTTGAGCGCGGCCAAAATTTGTTAGGACATGCTTAAGGATTTAGGGCTTTACTGTCCTAGTTACTGTAGGTTACATGGCAACCTAACAATGACTTGCAAAATACTAAGTAATCCAAGTCATCCGAACAGCGAAATCCGACTGAACTGCCACTGTGGAAGTCAGGAAGCAAAAACTGAGCACGTTCAAGATTTTTCATTCCACGAGTTTATGATCACTGGAGCGCATTGCCTGCAGAGACTTCTACTGCCACGTCTGTGGACGGCTTCAAGAAGAGTTTGGACAGCTAAACAGCGACGAATGGCTTTCTCCCGTCCAGCTGGAATATGGACTATGTTTATGCAATCAATTAATTCCGGATGATTAGACACAGCCAAAGCTACACCGAATGCCTCCACCAATCACCTCACCCCCCACTAATAACATTACCGTTTCTGTCCCCGTAATCCCCCCTGTACCCTCACCTGCCCCTCCTCTTCACCCAGATTCTATGATCTCGCCCCATTTATTAGTATCCTCTTCATCACTTTTATCTTTCCTGGGTCTATCCAGGTTTCTCCTTCCATTTCGGTCCACTTTTCACTTTGCTTTTGCGTACTTCCTCTCCCTTGGTTTCGCCAGACATCTTATCCTTTTTGGTCTCCTGTTCACAACCAGCCAAAACAACTCTGTGGTTGTAGGATACCTGAGGAACCCATCTGCAACACAGTTTAACAACAAATCTTACAATCCCTACAAACTGAATCAACAGCGGACCGCCCGTCGAGCTAACTAAAACTACAGCTGTTGAGTGGATGAACCTGCTGCATCGGAATACACTGAAGACCTAGAACCTTTCTAAAACTCTTAAAGCAAGGGCTGACAAATCAATTGGCTTACATTAGCTCGTCGACAGACATTGCATGTTGTATTGTTTTAAATGTTGAACCGTTTTTCGCGTTCATTTAAATTGTCTACAAGATTTGGTGGATGGGACATTGTAGTAGACCTTGCAAAGGGTGTTCGATATCTGTGTGTTTGCATAGGTATGTTCTTGAACACATTCGTGTTCTCAAGCTTCTATCTAGTCGTTCCACATGGAAAAATGATGTCATATAAAATATTTTTCCCTCCATTGCTATTGCCAACATGCTTACTTTATGACTTATTAAAGAAAAGACCGTTTTTGACTGTGAATATTTGTATTGAAATCAGAATTGGTTTTGAAACTTATTATTGTTTTACACCTGTCGTCTGGTCTTCATTCGTAACTAGTGTTCTTTTTTTATTGAGTTTGAAATATCAGTTTGATAACCACTGAGTTAGCGTAACATGAAAACCTTACAAAATCTAAAAGGACAGTCATGTTTAAAGTTAATCAAAATGTGAAGTTTCTGGGGGTTTCGTATGTGGGTATGTCTGAGTCGTGTCTATCGAATGTGATATTTTGTACTGTTGTTCCGTCTGCAATTTGATCTTTATGTGAAACAAAAGCCTATGTTTTTTTTTGAATATCATGGGGTAGTAATAAACATTCTACACTACTCTAAGGCATATGATACCGCGTTTGTAGTACTTTACTCAGGTGTATGTGTAATTGATTTCAGATCCCATCTTAATCTGGCAAAGAAATCTCACTAAGTCCAACCTCAATGAGTGTGTAAATAGTCACTTCAGTTTTTATTCAGGCTATAAGTTCCATATCATGACACATATTTCTGGACTTTCTTTTTAGTCCCTTGCTGTATTCCCATTTTGAAATTGTAGGTATGGGGACATTAAGCCAGCAACCACTTTTAACATTTCAGCATATCTTGATATCATTTGTAGTGCCAAACTGTGACTAAAGGAGTTTTATGTAGTACGGGTGGATTCGCAAAAATAGTTCAATATTTCACTAAAATGCCCGGTCTTTGGGTACCTGCTAGAAGTCAACAACACGTTTTGGTTTGTGGCTGGAAACAGTTTAGCTTCCAAATAAATTTATTTACAAAAAATTTTTCCTGGAAGAGTATGTAGTTGGTATCTGTCCACTTACGCGATTTATTAAGGATTCCTTCAGTACAATGCGTTGTTTTATTTGCTAAAAATTTGTGTCAATATTTGATTATCTAAGTCATACCGGCGTACAAGGTTACACAACGTAAAACAGTTGCCGTTGCTTAGCTTTCTCAGCATTCCAAACGATGTCACCTAAATAGGCATCTTGAGGGTTACCGAATTACTCGTCCAAATGATAGTAGGGGATTATGTGATTGTTTTAATATGAACTGGAATGTATTTAGAAAGGCTTTAGAATAGGAAGTTAAATTCAGTCGGGCTAATATATTAAGCTGAGCTAGACTGTGTGCGGGCTCATGATATTGTTCACTTGCTCTGGATAAAGAAAGCTAAGTGGGGTTTGAATCTAGGAGGCATTGGTTAACAGTTGGGAGCTTTAGCCACTTAACCATATTGCTACCACCAGACGTACTGAAGATTCCGTATAAGATTAGTTTTCTTAATATAGCATACAGTTATGTGTCGTTTACTAGGTGGCAAAGGAAAATTCATTGCTCATAATTATATCGAGATATTCACACAAGTTCCTGGTTGAGTTTTTGCAGTGCTACTGATTTTCATTCTTTGATTTCCATATATCTGCAATCGGTGTTAAATCATTCCAGTTACACGTGTCAAATGTTGAGTAGATGAACATGGGCTAAGTGGTCTATACCTCATTCTGTTTGACCACATTAATCTTTAAGAATGCTACTCTGTTCCGCTCTGTCGTGTGGTTGTATTGTTGATTGCATAACTGTGGGTGTTTTGCTCCAGATTGCTCATCTTAGTAGGGTCTATCAATCTAGATTGTTGGTTACAGTGCTTCATATGATGTCTTATAGATCCTTTTGGTCAGTGTGTGCTCGCTCCGAATATTTGGATTCAACTAGGAATTATTACTTACTTCTTTTTTTGTTGTAATTTTTCTATGTTCATACACTTCAATTTCAACTGCTGTATGACTACACTGTTCCATTGTGTCCCAGTTAATCATTTTAGTGTATTGAATGATGGGTTTTCACAGAAAAATAGAACTTGTAGAGATGTTTAAAACTATAGTAAAACTAAGTGGAAAGGGGTTACAGGTGACTCATCCTCCTGGTTTCAAACTAAGATTTTCAATACTGAGTATTTCGTTCGATAGATTACGGTTGCAAAGTCACTAAACATTACCTTAAATATGGAAAAGGAAACGGAAGTATCGAATGAGTCTTATAAATACTACTTGACATTGATTCTTCAAGCCTTATTTACCCGTTTTACTTTGAAGTTTTCAGGTTACCTCATTTCATAACTCACCAGATAAAGACTCTTAAATATGAACTTATTATATCAATTGCTCTTTTAGTTTTAGTTGAGTTTCCTGATCCATTACCAGTGGTGTTAGCTCCCGTCACTAAGAAAAGTCCTAAGTATTGTTATATTGATTTACTCAACCGTCACTTCAGAATTCAGTTAGTAACAAGAAAGTTGTTTGTTTCTAATCTCGGTAGTTAGATAAGTTTTGGATCCATAACCCACTAGTTAGAAGTCGACCTCAAAAACCAGTGAGCAGTAACTCTCTTCATGTTTGATGATTATTTTGGACATAGTTCTAAAACGAGTAGTTTAAATCTAATTTAGTTAAGGGAAAAAGTAAATCAATGCACTTTTGTGTCAGTGTATAAATCTGTTATTTTTACCAGTTCCTTTCAAAATCTGGTCAGATTAGTAGGCTGTCACTAATGGTATTAAAGATGTCCACACAGCAGCCGCTCTGCAAAGTTGACGTTGTTGAGCAGTTCGGGATAACATCTGTATAAATGGCATGTGGCTCGTTATATTTGAAATAAATATACTGAAGTGTGCTTGTAGTTCGAAGCATATTATTTGTACCCGTTTTATTATACAAAGGTGGCAAATATGTTGACGCAACTGTTTCTTATGGTGGTAAGGCTCAATGGATATAAAAGGCTAGACGATTTTTAACTTTTATAATCAGAATCTGTGAAAATGTGTAATGTAATTCTCAGACAGTCGAATTTAATATTTCGAAGTGGTTTGTTTCAAACTAGTGTGGTTGAGAAATAGCCCTTCAGATTGTGTAGCTTAGATGCAACCGATTAGGAAAGATTTAGTCTAATAAAGTGAAACTTCTTTTTAACTATTTCAAAATAAGACAGTGTCTTTTGAAACCTTCGATTTTTCTAAAAAGAGAAGGGTAAATCAAGCATAAATTACACCTGTATGTGTATTTCGTAAGTACAGAAAATGTTTAGGCGATTATTAGACAAATATTCTTTTGACATGAAGATGAGGGGGGATGTTCAAGAAACTAAACATATTTCATGACTATTGATCATAGAGTGATTTCATATATAGTGATCTAAAAAGTCAGCTTCTCATGCAATTTACTTCTTACGAACTCACTGATTTGTTTGACCTCAGCTAGAAAACATCTCAACGTCTAGTGTGTCCGACTACCCTACGAAAACACATTTTTGCTGCACGGGTGATCAACTCCCAGGCCTAACCTACAATACATGGATATAAGACCACCTTTACTTCTTTCTGCTCTCAATAAATGAAGAATGAACGGCTTACTTTCAATAAAATATATCGATTAGTGAGACTGAATATAGAACCATAACCGTAACTGGAGCCACACACCGCCTTCACTACATCCAAGCTCCTTCAAAACCCGACTAAATGCAACTGTCCGCTGTTTCTCTCGGTTCTGGGTGATGAACTGGTTCTTTAGTGAAGATGTATTACATGGTTTAGATTCATAGCCTTTTGTAGGTCATTACAATTGTAAGGAATTAATTCGGGTATAATCTGCAATAGACTCCTGATGACCAGTCGAGTATTTCTAATCTCGATATAGTGGTCAATGTTTACAGCCTGTTTTGTGGAGGCTTATATGGTTTTATGCCTTCAAAATTTCAGTTGCGGTATGTGTCATCAGGAGGAGGTTAAACTAGGTGATGAAAGTATCTTATTTCACATATTTCATTGCATTAGGAAATAAAATTTCTTTCTAGTAAAGTTAACCTAATAATTAGAATTATTTTTGACAACAGGAAATCCACGTGTTGCTAGATTTACGCAAACAGTATCCGCAGGAGGACAAATTCGGTTCAGTAAACCACCTTAAACAACTATTTTTGTCAATACCATAAAACATGTTGTAGGCAAAGCTCTTGCTTTAGATTATCGTCTTTCGTCGTAGAGCTAAACGTTCATCATAAGTAGGGATACGTGTTGGCATAACCGGTGTCTATAACAACAGCACTACTTCAGATCATATTACGTCGTGAAAGTAACCAATGTGTATGATACTTCTGATTATAGGTACAGCTCTAATCATATGACTATTTATGCCTATTTTATTTATTTATTTCTCAGAATCAAATACACTTACTTAGTAGTTTAGATAAATATATATATTTGAAAATGAATGCAACAAGCAACCACCTTTTTGAGACCGTTTATGAAAATCAAATTTATGTATAGTTTTGATAAAGAATTTTGTTTCTTGTTATCTTTAAAACTACGTAGATAGTTTTCCAGTGTGTTAATGTACTTTTATTTTCCACTTCCAAGCTTTACACGTAATCTCGTTAGATGGAAGTATATGGCGGTCACGTTTTCTCTACTCTTTATATTATCGACTTCTGTCATTTGCGTCGTCTTCTTCCAAGTTCCTGACCTCAGCAATCCTTTCGTTGTAAGTTTATTATATGTGTTGTGAGTTTCGGAGTGATGAATAATTTACAATTCATGAGTATGATACTCACTTCTGGAGATAATTTTTGGGCGACTTAATTGTATGCTAGTGGGTCTATTTTGATTCTTTGAATTAGAAACTCGTTTAAAAATATAAACTTGACAGAGTAGTATGGGGTAAGTTCTTGGTAGTTTTATGAATTTGATATATTATTAGTTAGGTTTTAAAGGAAGTCACGTAAGAGAACATTGGTTTCAGTGAGTGAGACGTTAGTAAAAAATGAGGTGACATCCAAAGAAATCATCCGTTCATTTGACACGGCATTATTACTTCCATTAATGAAGTCAAATGAATCGGTCATAATGCATATGTTGACGGTTTACAACTGGTTGTAGGATATTAACATACCATTAGATGATAGAATGGTGTGATGGGTTGTTCATGTTTTAAATTGACTGGAGCATGTCATTTTCTTTGCTTACGTTCGTAAGACCATGTAGTCGAGGAATCAGATGGTTTTGGTTGCTCGAATAATTCAGGGCTAATTGTCAATCCGCTATTCAAACTCTTCAGTAGCTTATGAAATAAGTGTATCCAGACTTAACGTTCTTTCCAGTTTTCACTTTAACATTTTTAATGTGTGGTGGTGGAGAGTTTGGAAGGAATTTTTGATTTGAAGTGATTATATCGAGTATACAGAGAAAACAAAACTTGTTGGCAGTTGGTGCTTTGATTATTTTCTAGCATAAACTTCCAATGCAGCATTCCAAAATTGGTGTGAAAATGCACGGTTTCTCTTTCACCAGTGGCAAGTCGAATAACGGAAAACTTTTTTAGTCCAGCCTTTGAAGTGTTGATGGCAGTGCTGTCCATATGTTTCATTAATTTAAGCGTAAAACTTGAGCATTGTGGTAGAATGTAATTCCATTTTAGTTAACTCATTAGGTGTATCATACAGTGAAACAGTATTCTTCACTGGATTACGTTTCGGATACAGTTTATTGTCCATAGTTATATAAAGATAACTCCACAACTTTGAGAAATGATATATATATATATATATATATATATATATATATATATATATATATATATGAGTAAAATCTCAACAGTCGGTCTACTTTAATTATATTTTGTTGGTCATAACATGTCTCACTAATTTCTGTCTAGGACTTTGTGACCATTGGAACGGATTGGTCTGCACGTACTCAACAGTTTCAGGCATTACTAGCTGAAACATCAAGTAATCCTGATTATTTGGTACACAGTGATCTAATATGGATCAAACAAGACGAATCGAATTTTACCGAGATCATGGATTATACAAACGAGACCCACCACGACTTTGTTAACCGATTTCGGCGCGTTGCTGATACCAATTATTTTGAAAGGGAATTTTGCCTTGAAGATACCGGTAATGTAAAAGTGGATGCTTTTTGGGTACTGACTAATTTGAAAGTAGTTTTCTTTGTGGAGTTCTGTGTATTTTAAGTCCCCTAAGAAACCTTAATCCAGATCTCTATATTCTAACCCACAGATTCACATGCACTTTACCTATTTTGAAACCTGAAGGTATCTAACTCAATTTACGAGACGATCGACTAAGGTTGCCACTTAAAAATCTCAAACTGAGTCAATGTGTAAAATATTTTGTACTTGTTAGTGGTATTTTGTCTCGATGATTTGTTAACTTGTAAAGGAAACAATAGTTACATCCTTATTTCGCTGGAGGATCAATGTATCGTTTCCTAGTTTCTTCTCATTAATGCTTGAATGAGCTACCCACTTTCGGTTCCAATGTAGATGAAATGGCAGAGATTTAGATTTTTAACAATAATTTAAAGTGAAACCTATCATTCAAAGATGTTTAAGCTAAAAGCTACTCTTCTTCTGTATACTGTAAGGTAAAAAACGGGTGGTTTTAGGGTCCCTGACTCAACCACACATAGGATTGTGACTGCGCACTTTTCGGAAAACTGGGAGTAGGATGAGTCAGCTAGTCAGCACTTTTAAAAGATAACGTTTTAGCTGATATCCAAGACTAGTGAAAACTGTTTTGAAACTATTTGGTTCCCAATAAACCTCTCTGATAATTTTCATTCTTATTTTGCAACTTTTTTTTAAGATAAGATCGTGCTAGATGCTTAATAAACTTCCATCTAGATTTCATTGATGTCACTCTACTGCTTTACCAACGGTAAACTTACCTTTAACTTCAGATCCTGATTCTGACGCCTAATCTAATGCATAATTTGTGGTGTTCGTGTGATTCATTTGGTACATCATCATTCAGTCTTAATGCATGACTATCTCGTTCATATTTAGTTTCATAAATTGGGCACGATTTTATAATTCTACCTGTTCGTCTCTTGTTTTTAATTTGAACGGATGTTTCTCATTTTCTGCATTATTTTACGGTCAAAACTTTATCACTGGATGTAATGTTCGTGACATCAGAAAGACTATGGTGTATGGTGCAGAAAGGACAACTCATAATTCACCTGATTTTATTTTTCTTGTTTTTGGTAATTAGAATACTTATCACAGTTGTGACTATGTTAAGCGAAATGTTATATCATGAGACGTATTTGCTAGAAACTAAATTGTTATACATAATATATAAAAATATTTTTGAGGTGAATGGTGATTTTATGTTTCGGGTGGTATTAATCACGGACTGATATCAGTTAAAAGACCGTTAAGAACCCAGGATTACTGGACAGCTGTTTCGTCCTAGGCGTACGCACCCACCACCCAGCTAGGGATCGAACTCAGGGACTTCAGGGCTCACGGCAAACGCGGTAGCCATTGGGTCGGAGTCCAGGGGTTCACACTTTCCTACTACCTCAGTTGATATCCTCTCCCCTTGGGAATAGTTGACCCCACAGGTCATGGCTTCTCATTGGAACCTCAGAATATCCACCTGGAAGCATGTCACTAGTAAGCTCTATACTGCAGTGTATTTTGAGGTGAATGGGGATTTTATGTTTGAGGTAGCATTCATCATGGACTGATATCAATGGTTTTCTAACTGATGTCACTCCGTGATGAATGATTCCTCAAACGTATATATATATATATATATATATATATATATATATATATATATATATATATATATAGCATATTTTTCTCTTAAGTTTAGTAGTTTACCAGTTTACTTTTATTTCTTTATGAAGTGGAGTTCGTTTGAATGATATCTTTACGAAAAGCACAGTGATCAGTCTTTAAACGATATGCAGTACTAAAGTATATTGTTCAAATGTTTTTTTAGGAACTTGAAGTATTCTCAGTAATGATTGATAGTGGCTAGTAGTGTAATCCAGGATGCGCGTTTCGTTCTCTTCGGGACTCGTTAGCTAGATAGATATACCTGCATATCAGTGAGCAATAATACTCCTCCTGAGAGTCGGACCTCAACATCCAGGGCTTCAAACACCAGAGCGTTATCCACTGGGCGACTCAGGCACGAGAACCACTCCTTGTACAACGGGTTTAGTTTTGATGTTACAACCTGTAATTTCCCGTCGTTGATTGAACGAAATTGATCAGCCACTGTTAACATATGGGTTACTACGTGGATTGCTTCGATATTGTCGGTAATTTTTTATTTTTGATAGTGATGACGGATTTCCTTGCTAGCCACTATCCATCATCACTGCCGACAATATCGAGGTATCCTTATAGGAGGAGCACGTATACCAATAGTGGATGATCAATGACTAGGAATTACAAGCTATGATATTAGTGTATACTTAAATTGTGTATCGGGAATTTTATTAAAGTCTTCAATATCATTTCAATCTGGAAATTTGGTGTTATATTATTTCTTGATGACTCTACTTAGAAATTAGAATCTGTATATGCTTATGAAGTGGAATTTTATTTGACGGACTATTTATACATTTCAGTTAACATTATGTCTATCTTTGTATTTTCTGATGGAAATGAGGCAAATCACATAAGTCAGGCAGATAACATTCCTGGGAGTTGTATGGTTGTTTTTATAAAATTACTGGCCAACATAGCTATTGTTGTTCACAAGTTGTAAGATAATTAAAAAAGACGCTTAATTCCGTCCTGATTACTATCCTGGCTACTAAATTATCAATGAATCATCTTTCCGATATTCATTTTCGCTGTTCTTATTTGCTCATCCCACCAACTACTGAATGATTGGTTCCGATTTGACTACTGATTACATCTTTTCTTATCATGTCACTATAGTTGTGTCACTTCTCAATATCCAAATGCGGAATAGTTTAGGGCGTTCGTAATTCAGGATATGAGTGTTCAAATTAAGTTAGTGTTCAGTGATCTCAAATTTTTAAAGTCAATTTTTATTTTGTATGATGCATCGCCTTTTGTTGAAATTGAGAAAGAAGTGACAATGTGTATGTCATGAATCATCATGATTCTTTTTTACCTACATTATTCACTCCAGTTGGTTGACTGAACACACTTTTCTAGTTTTTCTGACTTTTTGCATCGTAGATAAGATAATCGTTTTTTGATTCGTTCAGTTTAACGGTCACTAAAAAATGTATTTTTTCATCGTAAAGCTAATTTGGAGAAACTATAAGAGCCACCTTAGCAACTCTTGGGACAAACAGTTAGTCTTCTATATCTTAAGAAAAACCACTTTTCTAACCCAGATGCCGAAACCTGATTGGTCATTGTAGCAGTTGCCAAGGTGGCCTTAAAACTGTCCGTAATTGCGCCCGATTTTAAAGTCTACCCTAGCAACAACTGAAATGACCAATTAGGTTTCTCTATTTCCGCTGGGAAGGCGGATTTTCATATCATACGTGGTTCTAATTGGCTATTTCAGTTGTAATTAAGGTGGCCTTTAGAGTCACCTTAATTTGTTAGGGCAACTTTAAGAGTAACTTTCAAGACCACCGCGGCAAAAACTGAAATAACCAATTAGACTTCTATTTTTGATGAAAATTTGCCTTTCCAACCGAAATGAAGAAACCTAATTGGTTGTTTCTATCGTTGCTAGAGTGGCCTTTAAAGTCACCCCGAAAGTCAGTCTTCATATCGACATTACAGTTTAAAGTGCTTGTTAACATGTATGATATGGATGCATTATTCTTAACCTAACCTAATCTAAACTGAATTTTTTAAGTAAAACACTTTTCATGCTTAATACACCTTATCCAGTTGACATTAAAAGAAAAGAAAGAACCCTTACAATCTCCTTTTATTCTACAGAATTTGAGCTGCCTTCATATATTAACAAAACAGTTGCTGTTCTTAGCTCATATTTAATTTGTTAGTTGATTGGAGGCAATCGGTAGGAAGCCTTGAGCCTATGTCTCGTGATTTTTAGCACTTGTTGACAAGTCGTATCTGCCACCTCAACGGAACTCATGTCCTACCTGAGGTTCGAGCCGGTATCATCCAACTAACATTGATCTTAGTGCATCGCGATGATAAGTCTCCTAACGTAGTGGTCATATTGGAAAATGATAGATAGAATTTGGTCAGCACTTAGGTACTAGGAAAAGTGAGGTTTGTTGCCCCCTAGTGACCAATCAACGTACATATTTATTTGCCTACAGTATTATATATGGTAATAACGTAAGGAATAATGCATATTTTTTGATAGGTATTCAAAGGACTGAATCAACCAACAGTTTGTGGAACGTTTACGCAAAGTATAGTCGTATCGTTTTTTCAATGAATTATGATCAAATACTAAAAATGCCTAATAGATCTGCAATTATATACAAATTAAGTAATTCAATGAACAATACAATTCTCAGTGATGCAGTTCTCTTATTTGCTGTACTGTCTGATCTTTGTAAACTACAAATGAGGCTTAGTCGTTTATCTACTTATCAACAGTTATGTTATAAGAAAATAGGTGGTCACAAGAATGATAAACATTTATTTACTGCAGACAATCAGGATTGTTGTTCTATTTGGTGTTTATCAAACATGATTGCATCAGTTTTTGGCAAGAAGTCTTGTGAAGCAGTAAGTCATTTTACACCTTTTTCGATTAGTAGTATGGTTATTTTAAGTCATCTCTACCTGTTGCCTTATTAACGGTTGGTAAGATATCTAGCGAGTTTAAGAACTGTTGGAAAGGCTTTCAGTGGATCATATTTGAAATGTAGCATGTTTTCTTAATATTTCTTTTCTTTAGTTGGTTACAGTTTATATTGTGTTGATGACTGCGCACGATTGAGAAATGTTGAAACCACCAATCGCATACAGCTTTTTATGCTCATTTCTTAAGCTCCACTTATTACTACCGAATCAGTAATACTTTCAGAGCCTTAGTGAGAAGTGGTGAAAGTCAAGTGGATATAAAAAATATACAAAACTGTTCCGCTTCAACGCTTTTTAACTGCAGAGAAGAAAATATGAAGGATAACTAGTAAGATAAATGTAAAACAATTAGGATGCTTGAATTGTAGGAGGAAATTTAGAATGAATGTATCTACGCTGCAGTGGTCAACTTTGAACATTGTCATCAAGATTATTTTAACCAATGATTTCTAATATCTTGAGCATTGCAGTCTACATCTTCCGATATGAATAAGACTGTTGTTCAGTAACTGTATAGGTTGTTACCATGTTTTGTTTCTATCTCTTATATTTTACTCAGTGTACTGGGATTCATAATGTTAACAGCTAAAAATTGAATGGTCTACTACACCTATGAGTAAATCCATCATCAGGTTTATGTTGTCGATGTTAAGCAATCCTCTGTCCTCTGAGTTCGAATTCACTTTTTACACACAGCTAAGACTATAGGAATTAGAATGAACAATTTGAGGCTCTGTATTCATTTGTGCAGCCTTTATCGCTTCCTTGACCAGGGAAAGTCTTATCAACGACCTTATGAATTTTATTTCATATTTGTCACCCGTTTCACACCACTACAATATTCACATCTCAACTTTATTTACTCACTTCCTTCTTCCTCCAGTATTACTCAACTTTGTTGTTCTTTTCAAACTTTCGAACTACTTTGTCTGTCTGTGTGTCTATCTGAACATCTGTTGAAATTGTCATGTCACTCTGAACACTTATTACTCCTTTATATTATCACTAATTTTGATAATCTAAGGTACACAATCCGTATCTTTATTATTTGTTGAATTCTCTGTCTTATCAGTTTAATATGTTATTATGTTTCAATACGGTACAATACTTCTCTATGCATATTTGTGTTTTTTCCTTCTTGAGAAGTCATTTTCAGTCAGTCACAAGTAGGTTCATAGATAGACTGTTACTTTGATATGTACTGATAAAACTTGTTAGCTCGAAGCAAATAATTGTAATCGGTTTCGGTTGTCCCTTCTCAAAGATAGATAGCGTATTAAATCAAGCGTTGCTTTGCAATCAGTTTCAATCGATAGTTCCGTTGTGTTGTGTAATGTGAAAGACTCATCTAAACCACGAAGACTGTAAGTTATCTAACATGTGACTCATAGTCATATGAAGTTGTTCACAGCATGATTGCTGTATTACACTTATACCTTTCTAGTTCTAAATCCTTTTTCTTAGTAATGCAAGAACCTAGGATCACTATCTTGTTAAAAAAGGCATAACCATAAGCTATTGGTATATCTCAAGTGTGATACTTATTTGACATGAGCCTTCAGCCCAGTGTCATTGTGTAAGCCAATCAAAGTCACGTTCCTCTCCTGAAATAGTCAATCTTCATATTTTCATGAATCAACTATCTCATCTTCGTTTGTTTTTGTTCTGCTATGGTAGTTGATGCCTATCTGTCATTTCAACTCACCCTTATTTATTTATTTTTAGAGTTGATCAAAATAAAAAAACTAAGCATGATGTACCTCCCGGAGCTTGAAGTCGTCATCATATGATGTATTGAATATGGATGTATATTGTTCATCTATTCACACCCCTCTCTGTCTCACACACACACGTCTGGGAAATAGTTTATCTCTGCATAAATGAGCGAACATTCAGTTTGGATTTATACTACTGAAAGTCTACACTTTGACATAGTCTTTCATCAAGCTATGTAGTGTTTATATCCTTTGTTCGTAAATTAGATTAACTTGGGGTTTTTAGTTTTGGCTTGTTTTTAATGTTGTACTTTTATTATTCCATATATTCGCGTAGCTAACAGATGCTGATGCGCAAAAAGCTGCAGAAATAATTACTGTCTGCTATCCAACTTTTGTTTCTGGCCACTTACGTCGTTCATGTTGGGATAACTATGGTACTGATCCTAATCTCTTATGTCCTATGGTGAAACCATCACAATGTTTATATTCACCTATACTACCAATTATTTTGGCTGCTCTCTTACCAGATGATGGTGAGACTGTTAAAACCTTAGATAGAACTTTGATGGTTTTGCCTATACGTGCAACCGGTTCGCATCTACTTTTTGATGAAATTGAAAATGAATGTAAATCAGGTAGACTTACAACTGGCTTACAGATTCCTTTTTATCTTAAGGCAAGTTATTTATAAGTAGCTTAATTAAAACTAGTTTGTGTTGTATTTTTATTGTAAAAAGATTTGTTGAAAGGTGTATAGCACATTATGCATATTATTTTGTTACTTAATGATACTAACCTGAGTGTTTTTCAAAACAGACGGAAAGATCATTTTGTTCAATATTCAGTTATGAGCTTCACAAAGGTAATTCATGGCACTTATTTTTTCGGGGGTGGATCAAACCCTTACGGGGTTGTGGTAAAGCGAAGTATTGTTTTTTAAATAGGAGAACGGTGACTTTGAAGGCCACTCCAGCTACTGCTGAGATAAGCAGTTACTTCTCTGTATTTTTTGAAAACTACCTTTCTAGACGGAATACCGAAACCTGATTGGTTAATTCAGTAGTTGCCAGGGTGGCCTTTAACATTTTGGCCACACTATATAGACCGAGTAGTTTCACTAAAGTAACTTTTAAGGTCACCCTAACAACTGCTGAGAAATTCAGTTACATCTCTTTATTTTATGAAAAACTGCATTTCTAGCTGAAATGTCGTAATCTGATTGGTAATCTGAACAGTTGCCTTTAATGTCACTACAAAAAAGGCTTTTTTTCCGAAAGGTTCACTTAATTGGGGACTGGTTTTCCGATTTGAAAAAAAACCTGTGTTAATACTAGGTTCTTTCTTCATAGTTAGCTTAAATTTAATCCTAGTCACGGATTTATGTACTAGATTATGGGTGAGTACCTATTATGTGTTAACATTTAATTGCAGTCGGCATGCATCTATTTTTTCTCATCGAAAAGTTTCATAGATAGCCTTCTTCACTTATCATTTCTTCTCTTAAAGGGGTTTCTGCCGTTTTTTTTAAACAAATATGTATTTTTTGTTAGGTTCCTTATTTTTATGTTGCATATTTTCTTCCCTTTTGATTTTTTTTTCAGAGTATGTATATCCAAGAATATGATGAAATTGTTACCCACTTACTTTCTCGTGATATTTCATGGTTGTTGATTAGTTTAGTGTGTTTGGTCATTCTGCTAACTCTATGGACTAGAACTATATTCATACCTATTTTAACCGTAATGGCTATTATCTGGTCTTTGTTAATTGCATATTCTATATACACAGTAGTGTTAAAAATTCCACATTTTCCAATTATTAATTTGTTGGCTATTGTCTTGGTAACTGGACTTGGTGCAGATGACCTATTAGTATTCTATCAGGTAAATTGCCTTTCCTTTGATTTAATGTTGATGTAATGTTAAAAGAATAATTCATGTCATGATTAATAATTATTTCACTATTGAAAATTTATTACATTGGCTTAAAAGATGAAGATTTAAACATAATGTACACTTTCACTATATAGGTAATATGGATAATATAATCGCAGTGTGTTTAGAAAATCGAAAACAAGATTTTTCTGAACGTTGTGCTATGCATGCTACAGCTTCTTCAGAATATTCTGCTGAAGAAGCTGTGACACATACAGCGAAACATTCAGAGAAATCTTGTTTTCGATTTTCTAAACACACTGGGATTATATTAAAACTTACCTATATGATGAATAAACCTGACTCGGCGTTCAGCTTCTTTCAAGACATTAGTAACAAGTATGGCCTGAATGTTTATAATGTACACATTGAATAAAAATGATTTTTTCTTTTCAATCAATGGTGTATTGTTAGTGCAGTTCTTTTCATGTATACTTGTTTTGTGATTGTTTTTATCTACTATGGAATATTTTCAAATAATCCCTTAATTTTACATAGTTGAGTGTTAAAGTCTGATATTTCAACTACAGTCAGCCTTTTTATAAAAATGCAATCCTAACCCATGTGTTAACTCATTCTACTTGGTTATAAGCAACACCATTAATTTTTCTAATTGAAAAAGAAATGACCATTACTATTAGTCTATTTGTTATATTGTTTGAACATGTAGACACGTCTAATTGACTTGTCAGAAGAAAAGCCAGTGTAACAGTGTATACTATGTATTCGTTACTCTATACTTCTGAAGAAATAAAGTTAACTAGATCTGATTACATAGTCATGATTGTAAATCGTGTCAACTTTCCTGGAAGTGCGTAACTTTAGTACATATGCAGTTGCTTTAGGATAAGTTCCGAATTGTATCAACTGAAGTCCTAAATCAGAAATCGATGTTAATTCTCTCCTACTGGTTGTATTTTCTATTATGGCTTCATATGTCAACAACCTCTGGATTTATCTGGATTCTACAAAGGTTTTGTCAATCCTTATTCAGGTTTTGATCATCAAGTATGTGTATAGTATGTTTCAAAGCGTCTTTCACTTTCATAATTACTGCTGGTATTTATAAATCTAGCTTCAATATGACCGTCTAGTTGATTCTCAACATCTTAAATTTCGATACTGTGCAATTTCACAGTTTGAGTTGTACAGTCTTAACGTATCATGGGTTTCATTGTTATATTTTGTAGTTAACCTCGGTGGAATAAATTGCACGGTTTAGTGTATTTCGATGGACGCTGATCAAGATCATTGTGGAATCATTAGTGATTACCATGAGTCACTAACTCATGTTATCTGATAATTACGGTTACTTCAAGAAGTTTTACTTCAAAGTTAGACTAGGCATGAATACAAAGTAGTCCTTAGATGGGTAATAAATGTTTTTTTTTCAGTGGTCTTAAAAGTTTCTGTTTTGTCAACACCGCTTTCTAAATATATGTTACCTGTGTGTGGAAGGGACCTCAAAAAAGACATAGATATAGAATTTTTTTCAAAAACTTACTTTTGGAGTTGTGCTACGTAACCGTATATATCCGTTTTCCTTCACAAATTATTATCTTTTCATGAGATCCTTGGGAGTAAAAATTATTTAGCTAAAATTGTCAATCTGTTTTCAGTAGAAGTGCCCTGGTTTTATCATCTATGAAGTTGTTGTAACTCAAATAAGTGTTTCAATTATAGGTGAAAAGCGTCAAAGGATCATAACCGCTTGTCTCAACTTTTGATGTTTATGCAGTATCAGACTAAATTAACTGACACGTGGGATTTCGCCATTTACAATTTACTCAGCATTTCACTGAAAAATATTTTGGACTTACTATGAGATTCAGTATGTCGGGGTTGTACTGTTTTTAATCGATAACTTTAATCCTTTTGTATTGGGTGGTTGTGTTTAAGCATATGGTTTATACGGTAATTTTATTAATGGTTCTTGGTTTCCATTTGTTTCCATATGTTAAAATTTATGATCCTAAGTGTATGCGTAAAACAGATCAGAAGATTCTGAGCCATCATTCAAAGCATTTTTCTGTGAATAAAAATTTAAAGTATAGGCAATGTTTTCAGGTGGTCCTGGACTCAAGCTTGCCCCACCTACTTCGACCTGGACAACTGATTGACATCACAAACCGTCATAACATATATGTGGTCAGTTGCTCAGTGCATAAAACTGTACTGAGAAGACAATTAGTTCTGTTACTTAAGTGGATGAAAATAACCATTTTTCTAAGCAAAATCAGTAAATAAAACTGTTTTATAGGATCTTGAATGTACATTGTAACTTGAATATAATTTTGATTACTCTTAATAATTTGTCAAAAAATTCAAGGCAATGTCTAATCTTTTGAATTTGGGGTTTATGTGGTATTCATCATGGACTGACATCAGTTGAAGGAACATTGGGAACCTGGGAGTACTGGACAGCTGTTTCGTCCTAATATGGGACTCTTCAGCAGTGCGCATCCATGACGCCGCTAGGGATGGGTGGTAAATATCAACTTGAAAAATGTCTAACCTCTTGCATATGTACATTGGTATACATTACTGTGCATCATAATTAAATTAAATAGAAAACTCGGTAGAAATATGTTGAAATAAACAAGATTGATTAGAGTATGGAAGTATAGGGAAAAAAATTCGTGAAGTCTTCATGGTAAAGGAGTCAAATAAAAGATGAGTCCATGCGTGTTATTGTGACAGACTTTGCTCTTCATCATCTTACAGTGATTTGTTGAGTTTTCTAGGACCTATACTGGTGTATTCAAAACCCTTCATGCTTAGTTGACACTGAATTTTATAAAGATTGATCAGTGAAAAGTGATTTGTTTATGTAATGTAAAATACCTCATCCACTTCTGTGACTGTCAAACTTTATTATTTAGCAAGTAAGCAAGGCAAACGTTTTCTAAAATTCATATTACACATGGATTGTGCAAAGTTCTATCGCTTTATAGTCTTATAATATTATTATATTTGTAAAACTGAAAATTGATGTATATGAATTTTTTTGTGATTGCATTGTTGAGGTTTGGAAGGAGAAGCGAAATATGCTGGTGAAAATAATGTTTTCACAAACCTGTGATGAAGAAGAATTCAAATTTATTTCTCATCTTGAAAGGCAAGAATTAATGTTAAGTATTCGAAATGAACTAAATCTTTCATCTTCCTTGAACAATAATCATTTTATTCCAAACAGACACTGTTCTACTAATGAAATTCATCTAGATTATGATTATTGCATTCAAAATTCTACACTCAATAATGAACAACTTGTTGAATGCCTTCACTTCACTTTACTTCATGCTATTCCACCAATGACATTAACGACAATTTCTACTCTATCAGGTTTACTGGTGAATTTGTTTTCTTCAATTGTTGCTGTACAACGATTCACTATTTTTGCTAGTCTTGTTATAACTTGTAATTATATATTTGTATTTATTGTGACTGTACCAACCATAGTTATATTAGAATTCTATTGTATATCAATTCAATGTCTCATTCCTCGTTATTTTTATAAATGTTATCAAGTTATTTTCAAAAAATGCTTACAGTTAACTTGTTCATTCAATAGACTGATAATTAATTTACATTTTGTCTTCCCGTTTGTGATTATTCTTACATTATCGTTTACATCATACCAACTATTATGGTTGCATAGATTCGATATACCTCATGATCATCAGCATAGTTCTGCATTTTTACGCACAGAACATCCATTGGAAGTATTTCTTTATGAGGACGTGAATACATTTCAGACTGAACGAGATTTACATTATTACCAAAATTTGTTAAAAATTAATTTTATTTGGGGTCCTAAACCATATGATGATCGTTCTATGTTTAAGTATAATCATGATGTATACAGTAATTCAAAACTTTTGCTTCATTCATCTACAAATTTCACTTCAATTAATTCACGTCTATGGTTATCAACATTTTGCAAAGAAGTGAAACATATGCCATTTTTATTTCAATCACTTTTTACAAATTATCGTCAAGATACTTTAAGTTCCTTTGAGGTATCTTATTTAAATCCATCTGTAAATATGCCTGTTTGGTGTCCATTTGGTCGTTATATCAATTCTATAGATAATTTTATATTTTCTCAGGATTGCTTATCTAGTGTAAGTTCTTGCTGTATGAATGGGAAACCTTTATTAGTATATAATTCCTCCACTTCCTCTTTTATTCATTGTTTATATGAGTATGTTTCTCATGAAGAACAACAGCACCATCTATCAGGTTTTCGTTTTATGAATAAAAAAGGGATACATTTCAAAGAGCCTATCGGGTTTACTGTTCATGCATTAACTAATATATCGTTGATTTCCTCTTCACATCAACACCTACAACAGACTATACATACAATTTCCATATGGTTTCAAAGTTTACTTTTAAATGCACCTGAATCATTACGTCATGGTTTTATAGCTGTACCTGAACTTGAAAAATATGAAATTATGCATAATGTTACACAATATGTATATCAAAGTATAATAATTGCCGTTCTAATAGCTAGTTTACTAATCCTTATCATCAGTAAAAGTATTATACTTTCTTTATTATCACTTTTATGTTTAACATGTTGCCTTATGTTATCCATTACTATTTTGGTGTGTTTAGATAATTGGACATTGGGTATGATTGAAGGTTTAATTATAAGCTTAGCTGCTGGCCTTGCTATTGATCCGTGTATACATTTAGCTTATGCTGTATTTGATAAAGAGAATAATAAAAAATCTAACAGGTGTCAACTTTTGATTTGGTCTTGCAATGATTTAATGCCGGTGCTCACCTCTTTAGGTCCAGCTATTACTGGATCCGCTTGGACTAGTGCAATAATTGGTCTTCCTATAATATTTTCAAATCTACTTTGTTATCATCAAATTGGGGTATTTCTTTCAACGCTTATGTTTTGCTCATGGTTCTTTTGCTACATCGTTTTTTCTGGTCTTCTTGTTTTTGTTAATAATGTTATTAATTACTTTAAATATAAGCGTGTACTTGTAATTTCCATCTTATTATTTCTTTTGTAAAAAAAAAATTTACAATTGTATTGACAATCAGTTTTAAGTGAGGTGAGGTTCCACTTCTTTTCAGAAGACTTTGTGTTTCTGTAAATATTATGTATATATATGCATATATTAATTCCTTTGATTCGAAATAGTTTATTTTCAAGCTGCATTCTGCTGTTTCATGTATACTGCTTGGATCTGGTACGCGCCAGTTTTTAAAAATGTAAATTGCGTCTTAAGTCAGTTTTAATCTATATCCTAGTTCCAATTGGATGAAATGCAGTGAAATGATGTTGTTTGTTTAGAGTTTTTTTCTACACATTGAAATTGTAACTTAATCTATTGAACATCTTGCAGCCTTCTGAATGTCACCTTGCTAGTGACAAGATAATCCTCTTTATTGCAATGTGTTTCTTAAGATTTGGATGTTTTGTACTGAAAACGTATAGCGAACCTCAGAACCGTATTTGTCGTTCCAACAAATCTGCATTTTCTGTCTGGTGGCTTGTAGAGGCTTATTAATTGATTTTAGGTTGGAATTCATCATGGACTGACATCAGTTGGAGGAACGTTGGAAACCTGGAAGCTCTGGACAGCTGTCTTGTCCTAGTATGTGACTCTTAAGCAGTGTGCTTCCGTGACCCCGCCAGCCAGAGATCGAACCCAGGGCCTTCAGGTCCCGTGATCAGCACGTTACCATTGAGCCACTGGGTCGGAATCCGATCATCCACATTTCCTACTTCTGTCAGTTCACGACATACGTCGCGCTAGGAGTGCGGGATTATTGGTGCGCACTGCTGAGGAGTCCCATACTAGGATGAAATAGCTGTCCAATGCTCTTAGGTTTCTAATGTTCCTCCAACTGATGTCAATCTACGATGAATTCCAATCTAAAATGTAAGTTTTTTTAAAATTTCATTTGTTTTTGTATATTGAACTTGTGAATTTCCATGTGTGAGAAAAATTCAAAATATGTAATCTAAAGTTGAAGTATCCTTATTTCAAGACCACTTACCATATATCAGTACTTGCATGACTAAATACTGCCAACTTAAGCTACCGCAAATGTATAATATATTTGAATTATCCCCAGGTCTAGTTGATGTATTACAGTTCTTGTCATTACTCATCATTATTTTGACTGATTCATCCCACAGGTATCAGTCATTATTATTGAGAGTGCAGTTCTCTCCGCCTTTGCCATCTTCACCTGCCTGCTGCAGATCTAATCTGATTATGGACTTGTGTAACGGTAGTTCGAAAATCAGGTGTGCTTCTATCACCGAAGTGATTTGAACTGGATGAATAATTTATCATGGTCATGACATATGAAGAATAATCATAAGCTTGACCTTCGGATATTCATTTTTCTGTGTGGTTAGTCTTTGACTACTGATATCATAGATGTAAGCAAACAACATGCACTTTACCTACCAATTTTTATGAACATTGGAATTTTGACCTTCACAATGTTGCAATTTTCACTACAAGTTGCATTTTAGGGATTGTGTCACAAACTTCCAAGCACACCCAATATTTTTCAGTCTATTAAAACCTCACTTCATAAACTGATTGTACTTCTTCGACTGTTTGGGCAGTGATTATTGGTGTTGGTTCTTTCCTGGGTCTCTAGCAATCACATTGTAGCGTCACACACTTCCCCAAAATCAATAGCCTAGGGTTTGACGACTTTCGACATTGATGCTGACCTTGATAGTTTAACTGGACTCGCTAAGCTGAAGGCACCCGGTCAAGCATCCTCGCCATTTGGCACGCTATCATATTACGTTGCACTGCTCGTATTCGACTCTCTAGCCAGTTAGTTGGAACACATCGGTATTTTGGCACAACCATCCAAATATACTATTCCATCCGACTACGCTACTGTGTTCTTCCTTGGTTTCGTATTCGTGGGTATATAACAAGTCCGAATAATTAGTGACTGGTCTTTGCGTCTGTCAAGTTCGCACCAGGACAAATCCTAAAACATCTACACAGTCACTTTATGAAAAACGTAAGCAATTTTCGTGATATTCTTTTTTATTACGTGACACTAGAGATACTGCTTATTTCCTTTTGCCCTAAGGATTCCTAACTATTTTGAAACCTAGCTGTCGTTACACTAGAGTGCCACTATTTTACTAAAGGTCGACCAGTTCATTCTCGATTCAACCGCATAGCATTGGAAGGAAAGATAATAATTATCTTCCGTGTGCTGAACAATTTACGACCGGCACACCATTTTAGAGTTGTTCACTTTTACTAACGACACATGAAAAAGTGAATTTGATTCATTTGCATCATTGGATTCTAGTTTTTCCCCAAAACATTAAGAAGATAACCATTATAACACCCTTTAACTTGCTTTAATTTCTTTGGATATCTTTCTCCGCTAAAAACGCAGTACAATTTATGCTCCAGGTTACTCAAAGTCCTAGTTTTTTCTTATTCATCGATGATGTTCTGATAGCCATTGCTACACCAAGATGTGTCTAACATCCCAGTGCATTTTTTAAAAACGTTTTCAGAAGTACGAGGTAGTCATCATTCTTAGTGAGTGCGTCTTCTCAACATCATTGTTGAACCTTTTGGAGCATCATATCAACGCTCTTGACATAATAATACTTGATAATAAACTGGATGCGCTACTAACTTTTGTGAACCAAACTTACAAGAACATCTATGTTTCCTCGGTGTTTTCAATTTTTGGCGATGTTCTATTCCCTATTTTGCATGCATCCTATGAATTTGCGCAGAGGTAATAATAGATATTTCGCTTCACTGACTGCAAACCTTCCAGACTGCACTAGACTCTTAGTCATGCGCCTTAATGTTTTCGTATCTGAGTCTTAACCCACCAGCAAGCTTAACTTTAATCCCTGACGCTTGACAGGACGCGGTTAGAGCCATTTTGTGGCAAAAATCGGCTGGTGATATTGTGCCACTCACTTTTTCTAAAGGCTAGAGCCATTTGAAACAATGTGGAACGTAAGGCAAAGAACTGTTATTCTTTTGCTTGTTGGTGGAGTACTGTAGTTGTTTGTTATAATGACCTCACTATTTCAGCTGTATACAAGACAGTATAGTAAGCAACCCCTTCTTCTTCAGACTGACATTTTTGTCTTGAAGCATGCAGTCAGATGAAATTAACATAAAGCCTTGCTAAAAAGTGCCTCAATCCAAGTTGTCACTCTTAACACAGTAGCATAAAAAAACTAATACAAGAAGAAAAGTGATATTAATATAGACAACTGCATGAGAATAGAAGCGGTCTGAATAACGAGGTTGGTGACAATGTTCAAAATTTCAAGGATATCAAAGGGTGATTTTTGTGTCCAATTCCCAGCCATTTCATCAAGGCTCTTCACCGATTCGAATTGTCGAGAGGCCTCTGAACAGATAGTCTACACCTCTCAGATAAGCGGTGAGAGACTTGATAGACTAGTTTCAGGTACTGGTCTAGCCACTTTGAGCCTTTTTCCAGTCTAATTCTACTTCAGCTAATATTGCACGTCGAGGCAGGTGGTGACTGAACTTGCACAACACTTGGAAGTCATCTCAGTTATGGAAGCTCTTCGCCCTCACCGACTGGCTTGTCTACCTTGCATGGAACCCTTCGCGTAACTTCGACATAGCTCATATGAGAATTCCACCATACGTGAGCAGAACGACGAAGACACCTGTGTTCAAGAACGTGTAATCTCTCCGTACCTTCTTTATTCAGTGGACATGTTTCAGTGTGTGACGGCATCACCGATAGCAGCACAGCATTCTTGCTTTTTGATACGACGTCGGATATCTCACCGAAGACAGGTGACACCAGTTAGTAAATGTCAAACTGGCCCTTTTATCGAGACCGAGATTTCGTCAAGAACCAAACCATTCCGGCTGATGCAGACCAGTTCCGAACCATCGTGCATTTATTAGGTACAAAACACACCCCAAACATATTCATACTTCTGCTCGTGGCGTTCAGAGGATCATACCTTTAGTCAGCATCTTTGCCTAACAGGACAAGTTTATCTGCGTTATCTAAGTCAACCTTTATCCATAAAAGCTTCTTGTGACAGACCGTCAGGTTCTACTACTTTGCATACTTTCAGGTTCGAAACAGCTTTCTCAACCTCGATGGCTGACATCTACATTTCATTGAGGTTCTTGCTGGACGTTGGAAAGGGGAAGCGTTGCTCTAGGCCATTTGGACTGTTTTTCAAAGTTCCGCACAACGTTCTAGCCGTCTATTCTGAAAGATTATCATCACCACATTCTTTTTCAGTGTTGGCTTCACTAGCACTTCTTTTTACTGGTGTCCTTGGTAAATCCCAACAACTTCCTAGTATTGCCTAACGATGACACCTTCCCCATCTCTTTCTCTCATGCCGCCTATCACTACTGGCGATCATTCCGAAAACTTGATCAGTTTATGATTGATCTGCCTTTGCTCGTTATTGTCGTCAAAGGTAGTTGGAGTGAGCATTCTCGTGTCATCGAGGTGGAGTGAGGTTGCGGAACGCCACTTGATCTTGCGAATCTCGTAAATTGATAGACTTGGATTGGGTATCTGAGTTCACTGCCGACCTACAGCTGATCAACTGAAATCGTTATCGATTCTTTCGTAAACTTGAGTAAATTCCTTAATAGGGCCCTGAAATACTAGTCTTGACCATGTGACGGGTTTGAAGGTTAATTCTATGAAAGTTCTGGCTTGCAAACAGAAGTTCATACTCAACTTCAGAGACATATCTATGTCATTTCCTATAGTCACAGATGTTCATGATATATCTACAGAAATTAACGTCCTGCACGCGTCTTTGGCTTACAGGTGGCCATTATTCCAGCATTCGTGTGCCTTGTAACACTGGGGAATCTAAACCTTTGTAAAGACTATCAGCGAACTAGTGATGAATTCAGGTGACAGGAAGTATTTTGAACTTTCAAAGGCAAAAATATAGTCATTTGTACCTGAAAAGTTGACCTGGCTGATAAAATCTCGCATATATTTTTTGTCGAACCAGTTTCGTTCCTTGAAAGTTTTACTCAAGCCCTCCCAGCGATTGACCATTCACTTCCATCGCAGTGACAATACAGCAGAAGTCGTAGCTGTTATCTATCTAAGCAGCTGGATTTCAAAATTCGGCGTGTTTTATATAACCACTAGTAACCGGCTACTGCAGTTTAAATCAGCTTTGTTTCAAGAGCTTGCATGGCATCGTGGTACTCAAAAAATTTGACTCATTGAATGTCATCCATAAACGAAATGTATTTTGGTGTGATTACGACAAAAAGTGACATTGTGAGAGGGAGCGACTTTTTTAACCTATTTTTCGTCAGCATCCTCATTAAAGACCCACAATGTACTTGAAGTCTATTGATAAACTTGTAGTGCACCTTCCTGACACCAAAATGCAACTAGGGCTAGAATAAATAGATTAAATTAAATTAACTGAATAAACCTCTAGCTTGCCTACTGATGCTTAAGGTGTTTTGAGTTTTGTTTTAGCGAGACTGCATCGTGGAGGCTTTGAAGCCACTTTGTGCTGGCTAACACATATACTCAGAGTCCCTAGTTCAGCCATACTAGCCAGATAAGTTGAATAAACTTTTCCCCTATTCATTTCTATTACATTTATTCTAGTTAAATATATTGCTTCTCCGAATACATTCCTGAAACCAGTTCTTTTAATTTGTGTTTCGTTGTCAGCACTTACACGTTGGGTAAGGTACTGGTTAAGCAGGTGTTAGAGCACATCAAGTTAAGTAGGGCTGGTCAAACGTTACGTAATAGTAACACAACCAGCACCCCCTAGAAACTGAAGACACTTTCGCCGAGACAACCTGTCAACTTGAATGTTACTTTGCTGGTAAATGTACACAAACCATCTTATTCAGCTGGTACTATAATTGAAACTCATTGTGCTTTTGCGGAGAGTGGAAAACAGGTAGTGGGAACTCCGAGCGATGTACAATTCTGTGCATCACTTTCAGCAT